ATCTTCCGTGAGTGATGACTTTCAAGGGTGGTTTTCCTGACTAATCAGAGGCATTATATTTTGTTTGCTTTCAGGTTCAAGACTGATTTTTAATAAATAAAAAAGTTACATGTATTGATATGCTAGTAAATGTTAACATCATGCATTCTGGATAAAAACATTGAAAGCCTTGATTTGACTTGATGTCAGACACAATAGATATAATCTCAAGAGCACTGATGATAGTTAAATTAGGAAGTCATGAATTCTTACTATATATTATGTTTTGTTCTTAGCACAGTTTTATATTTATAAAATTTAATTTATATTAATGGTTATGTTTAATAACCAATTAGCAAAATTACTGAAATGTGACAATATCTCTATTCCCATTTCTTTCCTGCTTTATCCTTTTAAAATATGTAATATTATTTATAAGTATATTTTAAATTTATAAAAGCTACATTGTACTATAAATCTTGTTTTTTAGCTTTTCAAACGTTCATAATTGTGTTTTAAAGATCCATCCCCTGCCAGGCGCAGTGGCTTACGCCTGCAATCCCAGCACACTGGGAGGCCAAGATGGGCAGATCACCTGAGGTCAGGAGTTAGAGGCAGCCTGGCCAACATGGTGAAATACAAAATACAAAAATTAACCAGGTGTGGTGGTGCCAGCCTGTAATCCCAGCTACCGGGAGGCTGAGGCAGGAGAATCACTTGAACCCAGAAGGCGAAAGTTGCAGTGAGCCAAGATCACGCCACTACATTCCAGCCAGGGCAACAACAGTAAAACTCCATCTCAAAAAAATAAAAAAATCCATCCACATTGCTCTACATATACCCTTATCCATGTCTTTCACATACACACCCATGTTGTCCTCAATTCCCCACAATGCAGCAACAAACTTTCTTGTACTTCCTTATGACCTTAAGAATGTGAGAGAAAGTTCTCCGGTATACACTGATGAGGGAATATGATCAGCCAGGTTTTTTGTTTGTTTTTCTGTTTTTTGCTTTTAAACTTATGCCCACTTTTCTGTTGGCAGTCAGCAGCCACATCTGAAGTTATAGCTCTCTGTTTTAGACAAGGCTTATTCTTCCCTTTGTTACAACCTAGTCCCTATAGGGACCTGAATTTGTGACCCTAGTCTGTGAGATTACTTTTTAAATACAGTTTGGTTCAGGATTTATAAAAACCTAATAAGGCTGGGTGTGGTGGCTCACACCTGTAATTCCAGCACTTTGGGAGGCTGGGATGGGCAGATTGCTTGAGTCCAGGAGTTTGAGACCAGCCTGGGCAACATGACAAAACCCCATCTCTACATAAAAATGCAAAAATATATATATCCAGGCAGGGTGGCATGCACCTGTAGTCCCAGCTACTCAGGAGGCTGAGGTGGGAGGATTGCCTAGGAAGTCAAGGCTGCAGTGAGCCGAGATCTTGACACTGCTCTCCAGCCTGGGTGACAGAGCAAGACCCTGTCTCAAAAGAAAAAAATAAGCCTAATAAAATGATTGCACACCGGGAAAACCTACATAGGCTTCCTTAAGTACCATATATATATATATATATATAGAGAGAGAGTCATTCATGGTGTGTAGTTCACATTGAAGTCAAGTTGGGGAAAAAGAAACTCATTTATCTCTTTCTCTTTTCCTTTATTCAAGTAGCCATTTTTATTTAATTTTATTCAATTCAGAAATATTTACTGAACTCCTCTTATTAGGAAGCACTGGATTGGATATAAAGAAAATACCATACAAGGCATAGAAGACTCAGTCCTGCCTTGCAAAGGGCATGTAGTCTTGACTGGAAAGACACACGCTGACAGGGTAGACTGTTTTAGGAATAAGGCTCAAAATCCTAAGGAAATTGAACACTCGAACAAAGAATTCTTAGCAAAGCAATTTTACTTCTGTGCAGAGGGGTGCCTCCTTGGCCAGTTGCCATGAGAACACACCTGAACAAAGGGGCACGAGAGCCTTTATTCCTGATGCAAGTCCTGTACCCTTTCCCCATTGGCCGGGGTTGGGTCATACAATCTAAACTAATCCCGGTTGGCTAAACATTTGACTGTTTAAGATAGGGTGGGCACGTAAAACCAAGTGGAGAGGAAGGGGAAGGGGTATCTGTAATGAGCTAGAAAGTTAGTCCTCTTTCCAGATAAGTAAATGAATGTGAGCTGGTACTGATAACGCTTGGTACTGAGGCGTGCCTGGGCATCTAACAAAGGCAAAAAGGAAAAAGGAGAAAAAGTGTGTGTGGGGGGGGTGTACTATGAATTAAAGAATAAAAGATTGATCAGATTATTTGAAGAGAAACCTCATATCCCACAACTGGGAGAAACAATTTGATGGAAAGTTTTTCTTCGTCGTTTACCAGCTCAAAATCTCAACTATCAAAGGCAAGAAAATAAACACACACACACCCCTCTACACCTTTACCTTTTTCTGTATGGCCAAAGCCTTCAGTCCAGCGGACCACTTCCCACTCCAATTACCATGTTAGCCTTGCAACTCACATCTCTGCACCCTTCTGATAAAGCCTCCACAATGCAAAACACGAATCATATCATATTGCTCTACTTCTCTAAACACTTCCATCTACTCTGTGGTTTTAGAAGAGAATCTGATAACCCCACATTACAAGGCCTTAATAAATTGCCTTATTGCAGCTCTGTATCATTACTTATAAACACTGTAGTGTAGATAGCCAGGACACACTGCATTTTTTTTTTTTTTTTTTAAGGCTCAATGCCTCTTGCCATTTTGCACGTGGTTTTCCTTCTGTCTGAAATGCCCTTTCTCCACCTGGCACTTGAATGGCCCCTTCTGAAAACTTCTTAGTTATCTTTCAAAATCAGTTCAAATGTTAGCTTTTGTGGGTAACCTATTGACCTCTCCAGGCTGAGTTACGGTGTTCCCCCAAGGTGTCTTGTTGAAATCATTATTTTTTCCTAAAATCTCTGTTCTAATTTACTTACATGCCTGTGAATGCTTAGAGGTTACTAACTTCAGTTTTGTGAACTTAGTAACTGGCACAAAGTCTGGCACTGAGTAGCACCTGAACAATTTTTTTTCTGGAATAAATAAATTAATGGTTTCATTGAAATGATTAGCATTAAATTAATGATTAGCATTAAACTACAATGTGTGTATAAAACATTCCGGTTAGGTTGAGTTCATTGCCATTCCTATTTACTTTAAAGAGTTTGTAATTTCTGGCTCTTTTCCAACTCTGATTCTTCAGACTAGAAATGCAATTTCTGCTAATATATTTATTTTAAGCAAACCCAACATCAATAAAGTTATTTGTATTCCTTATAACATAAGCATAAGAACGTACAGTGATATAAAAATGCAGCTATTATCTCTTATAGGCACTGGTAAAGCTTTAGTGACTAGCGCTACTATACTGGCAAGGTATTGCTGCTTGTAATGAACTAAATATTTCAGTGGCTTAACACAATAGGAGTTTTTCTCTTGCTCACATGGCAACCCAGCGTATGTTTTCCTAGTCAAGCAGCCTTCTTACATATGTTATTGCAGAAACCTAAGTCCTGTTCATCTTCTTCCTCTGCGTGCCATTCCCTTGGTAGCTTTTCTTTGCTAGGGTTTCGCAAGAGAATGAAATCCTGTTGAAAATGATCTGAGGGTCTGTTATGTTCTCAAGAATGGTACATAACTGGTCTGTGATAAATGCTCAGGTAACTGATTAGGTATTATAGATACTTAGGATTTTGTCATGAACAATCAGCATCAACATCATCTGGAAAATTGTTAAAAATGCAGATTATTGGGCTCCACCCAGTGTCTACTAAATCCAGAACTCTGGGGCTGCTCTGCAGCAATTAGCAAGGCCTCCAGGTGATTCTGTTGATCCTAAAGTATGAGAACAACTGCTCTAGGGCATTAGGACTTAATTCTCTCCCCAGTAAGTTGTAAAGATTTGCTGTAGGACCTAAGAGTCTTCTGCTTCCAACAATGGAAAGGAAAAAAAGGTAGAAACCTCACTAAATTTTTCAAAGCCTCAGCCCCAAACTGACAAACACTTCTGCTTACATTCTACTGGCTATAACTTCTCGTATAGCTAGCTGAACCAGTGAGGTGGAACCAGCTCAGGACGGCCTACTGTTATATTGCCAGGCATTTTTTGAGGCACTTGATGTTATCTTCTTGGTAATTTAAATTTAACCGTGGTGGGAATATTTACACCACAGAAATTGGCAAACACTAAAAACAAGGTGTTTTTAAACACCCTGAGATCAGAGATCCAGTTGATATACATCTACCAGCACACCACTGGCCAAATACAAGCTTGGCTTATGCCACGGAGAGCTCTGCAGCTGAAATACCTCTTCAAACGTGTCCTGCTTTAAGCCAAATTAGTCAGGCCTTTATACCTTCACATTGATCAGTCACTGAATGAGGGCTGCCGGGGAAAAGGCATGACCTTGGACAAGGCAGCTCTCTGCAGCTCAGGCAGTCCCTGAAGGGACTGACAGCTGAAGAATGTCTAGTGACATCATTTCCATCATCTAGAACAAGAGTCTTTCCTTGAAGGGGGGCTCTAAGTAGCATCTTCCCATGTCCACTGCAGCCCCTCCCTTTAAGAGATTCTGATATAATCGACCGGGAGTGAGCCAGTACATTAGGATTTTTCTCAATTTATCTGGATAATTTTAGTATGCAACCACAATAGATACTCTTCAAGAATTAAGCCAGTTGCTGAGAGGGAACTGTTTTTTGTTGGTTTGTTTTCATTAATGTTTGCACTCTACTTCCTTTTAATAAAATTATGCCTGGAGAGTTTATATGGAGCAATCGATAAACATTTGTAGGGTGGTTGGCTAAAATAATTATAATTCCTTTAAAAGAAATTCTACCCACTAAAGTTAATTTAGAAGTAAAATATAATAGAAATTCAATAATATATTCACCAAATGAATTAAGATGTTCATGAATTAAGTTATCTTCAGAGTGTTAATCGAATAAGTAATGTGTATGCTTTTCTATTAAAGAGGAAGTTAGAAGACCTGAGCTCTGAGTGGAAGGCGGTAAACCATTTACTTCAAGAGCTGAGGGCAAAGCAGCCTGACCTAGCTCCTGGACTGACCACTGTTGGAGCCTGTAAGTATACTGGATCCCATTCTCTTTGGCTTTAGCTATTTGTTCAAAAGCACAACTATGAAGTGATGTCTGGATGAGAGAGAAAATTTGTTTCAATTCTGAAGATAGAGATAAAGCTTTGTGTTGTTGACTATGCAAAAAGTCTTAGAGTACATTCCTTGGAAATTGACTCTGATTCAAAATGTTGTATGACAATGGGATATGGGGAGTGTTCTCTGGAGATACACCCATAAGGAAGAGAAGAGTACCAGGGAGATTGTGGGAGAGTCTGAAACATGAGTTGGCTGCAACAGAGGCCTAAGCCAGTCTCACAGGAGCCCTACATCTGGGCTGGCTCTGCAGAGCTGTCCTGAATTACAGGCAGTGGGCCTGGACTTTGTATTTCTGATCCAGCCAGCCATTGGCCATGGGCTGGCTGCTGCCTGACAGTGGAAGGACAACTTGGACAAGTTTTCTGAGGCCGAAGGCAATTCTTAGTAAGAAACACCTTTAACAACCAATATTCCTAGCATCCAAGGATGTGTGCATTGTCCCTGAAGAGAGATTCAGGGTGAACTGCCAGATTATCCACTAACACTACATGAAGATGCCATCTTAACAAATCCTATATCATTTAGACAATATTCTTCAAATATGGCTACAAGAATCATAGAAACCACAGAAACACACACAGTCCTACTAGCACCTCTCCCTGTCCCATTTGCAAACAATTTAAGAGCTCTTCCATTTTTAGTTCAAGTAAAAGAAAAATGGATTGTGAGGACCACAAGCTGACTTGGGGGAGGAATATTTCTTCGTTTAGCTGTAGTTTTAACTTTTGTTTTCACTGCATATTTTCAGTCTATTTTATTTTCCTTCCTATTCAATTGTTGATAGAAGGTATTCATATATTCTCATGGCAATGTTAATGCTGGCTTTGACTCTCAGGGGAAAAAAGCCAGAAAACTTCTTTGCTGTACCATTCTATAATTAGCCAGAACTAAAAACATCTTTGGGTGTTTTTTTTTTTTTTTTTTTTTTTTTTTTTTTTGTTTGTTTGTTTGTTTTGAGACCGAGTCTACTTTTCAAAGATCAAATGATTGAAGCATTAAAGCATGGTGACTGGTTCTTCAGGTAAAGTTGATTTTTATTTTATGTCAAGTAGAAAAATACTGAACTGGAAGAATCACAGCTGGGGTAGCACAATCATAATTCATTAGAAGGCATAGTGCTTGGATTAAAAGAAGCCCTACAATCTGAGGACAGTGCATCTCATGTGTCCCCTGGGATTTCTCAGAAGTCATCAGAGTTAGATTTAATGACTTTGGAGACTTGAAAAGATATGCAAGCATTATGGTTTTGTTTTGTTTTGTTTTTTCTTTTTGTCAATCTGGGACACTAAAATTGCTATATCAGGGTTATATTCAACTAACTATGTCAGGTTTATTTCTTTTTATGAGCTCTAATTTTTGGTTCCCTCAGCGAATATGCATAGTTTGTTCCTATATTATCATTTATTGGTGTCTGTTTTCTGGCTGTCCCTGACATGTTGAGCCTCAGACTCAGACATAAACTCTATGAAGAGATTATGTTCCAACGATTCTTTATAAGTTTGTTAAACTCTGAACTTATGGGTTTATGTCCCATATAAGCCACTTTACACATGGTAGGAAGGCTCCAAAACCAGGGCACCAAAATTCATTTAATGTGTATTTTATCTAAATGTAACAATAATGTTTATAAGAAAAAGACATTCAAAGTTCCAGTTTTGATTTCCAGCAACATATATAATTCATCCACTTAATAAATATTTAACTTCCATGTGTTGAGCATCATACTGGTGCTGCGAGTACAGCATAGAATAAGATAAGTCCCTCCTTTCATAAAACATATATTGTAATATATGTTTTATGTAATATATGTAATAAACTAATGAAGAAAATATATACTGTCTCAATAATTGTAAGTACTGTAGAGTGTAGTCTACAGATTGATGTCAGTGGGTATTTGTTAGACATGTAGAATCTGAGGCCCCTATCCTAGACCCACTGAATCACAGTCTGCATTTTAATAGAATCCCCAAGTGAATCCTGTGCACATTGACGTTTGAGAAACACCATTACAGAGAACAACTAAGCAGGGGGACATCATGAGGGTATTATTGTCTATCGTGTGGTCAGGGAAGCTTGTCTATTAAGAGAACATCAGAAAACTGATGTAAGTGAGGAAGTGAGCCTGGTGTATTTCTGGGAAAATTATTACAGGCAGGGAAAGAAAAGACTGAGCAATGATACTGAAGTAGGAGCAAGATGGCAGAATATTAAGGAGATCAGTAAAACTAGAGGAGCGGGTCAGGGGAAGTGTGGTGGAAGCCATGAGAGATATTCATCTTTCATAGCACTGCCCTACTTCCTTCTCCCCAACACGAGGGTCTCAACACCCCCTACCACTCTTGTCTTCTCCTACGCCCTCCACATTGCTGCCAGTGTGGAGAGTCTGGGAATGCCCTCAGCTCAAAGCTATTGGTGACAGCTGGCAGAGTTGTGGTAGTAGCTAAAAAAGAATTAAGAGAAAGAGGAATTTTTCTCAAAAGCAGGTGCTTTTCATCCTCTTTAGCACACTGAAACAGATCTGGGCATAAAGTCAAGATGTTAAATACACAAATGTTGAATGAAAAAAATCAACAGGTAGTCATTTAGATCCAGAGCCGCTTTTTCTTTTTTCTTTACTGTGGTGGTTCAAATATCAGAATAAAGAATTGTTTCTATTCCTGACTTCCTGACTTGCAGGAGGTTAATCAGATATAAATGCAACATAAAAAAAGAAAATCTAATTTGTATTATGCTTCTTGTGTATGTTTATTATTTCATGTACTATATTACAATAGAATAGAATTTATAATTCATTATATTAAAATTTTTACATTGCATTCCTACTATTGAATGTGTAGAAGCTACACATATATGTGTAGCTTTAACATATATGTCTTTATCCTGAAAATAATTTCAAAGAACATATGGTTATAGATAATTTTTAAAGATTAAGGACCCCAAAGTTTAGAGGGGAAATAGCTAGATTAAGGCCACACAGCTGGAAAGCAAGCAAGCAAGGGTTTCAGTCCACGTGTGTCAAGCTCCAAAGCCTGTGTTTTGTTTTGTTGCTATGCTTTACACTATCTCTCTGTCCAAGAACCTAATGGAAAATTACAGATACGGATGCAGCTGGCCAGCAGTTAATATAATTTAACTCAATCTTAAACATATCTGGAGTAAAAGTGATATATGTTTCTGTGTCCTCTCCCCTCCCCTCCCCTCCCCTCCTCTCCCCTCCTCTTCCCTCCCCTCCTCTTCCCTCCCCTCCCCGTCACGCCTCTTCCCCTCCCCTCCTCTCCCCTCCCCTCCTCTCCCCTCCCCTCCTCCCTCCTTTCCTCTCCTTTCCATGTGCTTGTGTGTGTGAGAGAGAGAGACTGAATCGTGCTTTGTTGCCCAGGCTGGAGTGCAGTGGTGTGATCTCAGTTCACTGCAACCTCTGCCTTTCAGGTTCTAGTGATTCTCCTGCCTCAGCCTCCCAAGTAGCTGGGATACAGGTGCACCCCACCACACCCAGCTAATTTTAGTATTTTTGATAGAGATGGAGTTTCTCCATGTTGATCAGGCTGGTCTTAAACTCCTGACCTCAAGTGATCCACCTACCTCAGCCTCTCAAAGTGCTGGGATTACAGGTGTGAGCCACCATGCCTGGCCTGTTTCTATGTTTTTTCTACTTAAGAAGTAGAAAAAATTGGTTCACTCTATTTGAATTTCTTAGAACCATAGAAATCCAAACTTGGAATAATTACTGCAATTATTATCTAGTTGAATATTCTCCTTTTATAGATGTAGAAGCTGAGGCCTAAAGTTGCTTGTTTTGTTTTATGAACACTAAACCAAACTACCTTGTGGCTGCTTACTTAAATTATAAATTACAATGGGGTGGCCTTGCCTGAACAGTATAAATTGTTTTAATTTTCAGGACAAATCAACATGCTGGAAAAAAAAAACCTTGCAATTCTTGTTGCTTGGATACCTGTCCATATCAGTTTCTATTGTTGCATAAAAGCACCCCAAAACTTAACAGTTTAAAACAAGAGTTATTTATTGCTCATAATTCTGTGCATCTGAAGTTTGCTCTGTGATTAGCTGAATAGTTATTCTGATGGTCTTGCTTGCTGTTATTTATGTGGATGCAGTTATCTAGCAAGTGAACAGGAGCTAGATGGTCTAAAATGGACTCTCTCAGATATCTGACAGCTGGCTGTTGATTGGAGAACCTTGGTTCTTCATAAAGCCACTCATCGTCCTGTAGGCTAGACTAGGCTTCATTACATGCTATTCTCAGGGCAGTGTTCCAAGAGAGGGAGAGTGGAAGCTACAAGATCTCCTGATGCCTAGGTTTTGAAACTTGTACATTACTTCTGCTAAGTTCTATTGGTCAAAGCATGTCAAAAGATCAGCCCAAATTCAAGAGATGGGGAAATTACTTCATCTCTTGAAAGGAGGAGCTGCCACATCACATGTCAAAGGGGTATGCATGTTGGGATGGAAGGTTTTATTGTCACCATATTTATACACAAATCACTACATTGGGGAAAAGGGGGGAAACTGGAGATCAAAAGTGTTGGTCTGAATCCAATGCTCTATTTCAGTGATTCTCAAAAATTACCATGTGTTACAACTACCCAGTTCTTAGCGAAGTATAGATTACTGGGCTTCAACCCCAGAGTTTCTGATTTACTAGCTCTGGGGTGAGACTTGCATCTCTCTCTCTCTCTCTCTCTCTTTTTCTCTCTCTCTCTCTCTTTTTTTTTTTTTTTTTTTTTCCAGATGGAGTCTTGTTCTGTTGCCCAGGCTGGAATGCAAAGGCTTGATCTCTGCCCACTGCAGCCTCTGCCCCCCAGGTTCAAGCGATTCTCCTGCCTCAGTCTCCTGAGTAGCTAGGATTACAGGCACCCGCCAACACGCCTGGCTACTTTTTGTATTTTT